ATATCGCTGGTGTAAACAGTAAAAAGCAGAGGTCCAAGGACAGAACCCTAAGGCACTCCACTTTCCACTAACCTATCCTGTGAGAAAGATTCGCCAACTCTAACTTTGTAATATTGATCTGTCAGGAAATCATCTATCCAACGAAGTAAAGTACCGCGAACTCCGAAATGTTCTAGCTTATGTAGAAGTCTGCGCTTAGGTACACGGTCAAAATCTTTAGAAAAATCTAGATAAACAACGTCGACCGGCTGCGAACTATTAAGGGATGAGGTCCAGTCGTTAACACAATGTAGGAGATTGGTTAGAGTAGAGCGACCAGAGACAAATCCATGTTGTTGTGTTGGAATAACATGTTCCTGGAGAAGGAATTTGGTCATCTCCTCGGAAATAATGGCTTCCATAACTTTGGCAACTACTGGCAGCAAGCTAATCGGACGATAATTGTAGGGGTCGAGTTTGTTGCCTTTTTAAAAAATAGGGGTAACGGAAGCTAATTTCCAACTAGGGGGTAAGCAGTTTTGGATGAAAGAGGTTTACATAATTAACGTTAAGGGTATTGCAAGCGTGTCTGCGCACCTTTTTAACAGTTTTGGTGTTAAGCCATCTAAACCAAGTGAAGCGGCCGTGCGAAGTTTAACTAAGTGTTGTTTGACATGATCCACTGTGAATTCAACTTGCTGTAAGGATGCGCCGACACGATTACAGTTAACAGCAGGTAGATAACCATCATTTAATTCTTTAGTAAAAACCTGTGAAAATGCTAAAGAGAGAGTTTCGGAAGATTTTTTGTCAGAAGAGCATAAAGTCTGGTTGGATTTTTGAAGTAGCGGAATGGAAACTTTAGATGTCATGGAGGAACGTATGTATTTATAGACTTTTTTAATGTTACCACTTTCAATTAAGTTTTCTTCAAAATTTTGTCTTAGGGTTTTTAGAGATGTTTTTAAGTTATTTGAAAATCTGCGATGGCTTTGGAAATCACTAAGAAGCCCGGTGTGTTTTGTGCTTAGTTTTTTTCAGCACGTCAGATATTCCGGGAAATTTTTCATTTCCGGAAAATAGAAACTGCCAAAAATACTGAAAAAATATTTCTTGAAACTATATTTAATAAAAAATTACAATGCAGAATTGAGATGTTCGTAAAAAAACAATGCAGTATATCGTTCTCTTTCCGTGAAAACTTCGTTTTGTAGTTTTGTTTTTATGGATTGTTGTGAGTGACTTAAGGTTCAGTAGTAATCAGCCATCATTCTAATATCCCATCTTCCTTGGTAACATTCCTCCTTCTCCTTTATGTCTTGATGGAACCTCTCTCCCTATTTCTCGCTGACAGCTTCAAGATTTTTGAGAAAATAATCTATGTGGGACTCCAAAAAATGTTGACACTCATATTGCATCCCAGTTTGTTGTAATTTTCGACCATGTTAGCTACAATTTCTTTGTAGTTTGACTTCTTTGACTTCTACGAAAGAACTCAATGCTTCAGATTGATCCTGGGTCATTGTATTCTGGAACAATCTATCTAACTTTAAGCCTCGATTTTGAGAGCCTACAAAATTCTTACTTTAAGCTTGCTTGGGAAAGTACAGGAAATTTGTTGCACGAGTATTTAAAGCAGTCACTTTGTCAATTTAAAGCTTTGACAAACTGCTTCATCAATCCTAACGTTATATGAAGGGGTGGCAAAAGAACTAATTTTTGGTCAACTAATGCATCACGCATCATGTCTTTTTCTAAGTGGCCTTTCTTTCTTAACGTAATGTAAATTCGGTCAATTTCGTGTTCGACTGTCCAACTTGCAACAACAAAAAACATGGATATTTTGTGAATCCAGACTGTTGGCCCAAAAGCATGTTTTGAGATTAGTGTTGCCCAAATACAAGAACAAGACAAGACTTAGACAGTCTTGGTCTTGGTCTTGCAAGAATATACCTGGTCTTGGTCTTGATATTGCGCGCCCAGTCTTGGTCTTGGTCTTGGTCTTGCAGCAAGATTCTTGCAAGTCTCGCAAATACCCATTAGCCTATTGCTATTTATTAAACAAAATCCACAAGGAAAACAATTCCTGTAGCTGGCTGTATACCACGTATCACAAAAAAAGAGGTTAGTCTTCGTAAGTGGGTATATTTATTTAAAAACCCTTAAAAGGGCTACATCAAAAAAACAAACGTTTTCGGACTAAACAGTCCATCATCAGGTTTAAAATCGCTAGGTTAAAATGCCTGAGCCACCAAAAATACATGGGTAAAAACCCTTTAAATTACATATAGTTATAAAAGATTATACATCTTGTTGTTAAAAAACTGTGATGTTCAGTAATAAATTAAATATGACTTCAGGTAACATACATTGCAAAAATTGAGTTCCAGAGCCGGGAGAAAACCTCTACGCCCGGAGAACAGCTGGAAACTACCGGAGTTGGATGAGTTCGAGATAAGACGATCTAAGCGATCCGTGCCTATGCTCTAACTAGCTGAGTCAATCTGTTTCTTAATAAGCGTTTGCTTTTAACAAGCTTACGTACGCACAAACATGGTTAAAAAACAAAACAACCAAATTAATGACATAAACTTGACTGTATTTTAAAGAACATTATTTGTCTAGAAAGGGATTGGTGGATCCTCACCTTATATAAAATGGAATAAAATAGTTATATAATTTGCTATTTATTTAAATTAAAAAGAAAATACAACACAGTGTTCAATAGACTTTTACATTACTAATACTTTATATTTATTCCTTTGACCAAGAATTAATACAAAGTAACCATCTGGCTCACTCATCACTTAACCTATTTCTATGTTTTCTAATTACTAACGATGCTTTAGAAAATAATCTCTCAGCAGGTACTGAAGTTGCTGGTATTAAAAGAAAATCACGGGCCATCTTCGATAAAGTCGGATATTCTGTCTCATGCGTCCTCCACCACTCTAAAATGTCTTCCGAGTTAGCGGCTCTGGGTTTACTTAGGTACTCCTCCAACTCAGGTCAATAACTAAGCCTTGATGACAAGATCCAAATGAAGCCGAGGAGCATTCATACAGTTTTTCAAAGTCTATTAAGTCTTCATCTTCATCATATTCAGATACTTTCTTTTCATTTCTTGGTGATTCTAGAGATTTATTTACTGCGTGTAATCCAAGAATAAAAAAACCAAGAATGAGCCTTTTATCCACTTCAGATCGATTAGGTTTCTCATCTAATTGTTTTACGATGGATTCAATTTTATCGAGCAAGAGATTGAATGATACAATCACTAGTGGTAATGTAACATATTTTTCTCCAGTTTCTGTTCTGTAACATAAGTTTATTAGAAACTTATGTACTTTTTCGAGTGTTTTCCATTCACTATCTGTGATGTTAAAATCGTTCAATTGTTCGTTTCATTGTCAGTTTTACTGTATAATGCTAAGGTATTTAATAGATCCTGTATGTATCTTGTACCGGATAAAAAACCGAGAATTATTATCGTTACTTCGTTACTTTTAATATATCGGTATTTTGTTTACACTGTAATCGGCATTATCTCTTTGTTTGTTTATCTCGTTACTTTTGAATATTAGCCGCATATTTCAGCAAATTTTGAATGGTATCATCGCATACTCAGCAAAATACTTGTGGTATTTAAATTCCTCGTAACTACATTATAAGAAAAAAATATGGTAACCTAATTATATTTTTTATCAGTTAAGGTGATACATTTTTAAAAAGTTTCGATACGATATTACTGTCGGCGTCGCAAAGCAAAGATATTATTTTATTATTAGAAGGGGCTATTCTCAAAATCTGGACAATTAATTTCAGAGTGAAGAAGTAGTGTGCTGGGAAAAAATGTACAAAATATTTTATTTTTAGATTGTAATTATGACCTCTGAGTACGTGTCAAATTTTTAAGTGTTCTTGTAATGAATATTTTGATTCGCTATGTATGTTTATGGTATTTTTCGTAATGCACAAGTCAAATTTTGCAAATTTTTGGTAATACGTCTTTGCATCTCATAGAGTCTCTAAGCATAAACCCGAACTATTATACTATTTCAAACCACACTCAGTCCTAACTGCAAGACGCAAGAGTCTCGCAGGCTTAGTCTTGTTCTTGCTCACGGTTAGTCTTGGTCTTGTAAAAATTAGGCAGTCTTGGTCTTGGTTTCGGTCTTGCAAAAACGCAAAAACAAGACCAAGACCGATTTTGGGCAACACTATTTGAGATATCCACAGAGTTGTCAACAATATTCTGTATACATTATTTTATTTATTATTTAGCAACAGCTCAATATTCTCATACGTTTCTTTGAGATGTACGGAGTGAGCAACAGTCATCGAGGCATAATACTCATTATCATTGTGCAAAAGACTCCTTTCAGACTTCCCTTAGAAAAATCAACAAATAACCGCCATCATGTGGAATCATACTGGTCAGCTCCCAGTTTCTTGACTACTTCAGGAATATTACCACAATACAGCATCATTTTAAGGGAAATATTTCGCTAACTGTTTTCACGATGCCTATACCACGAGAATGTGGTTCCCAGAGCCAACAGATTTTTATCCTTCAGTTGTAATCGTAAGATGTATACAGCATCCTTGGATAGGCCCAAATCATTTAGTTCAGCTTGGATAAACTGTTGAGATTGGTCTATATTATGATCCACTAGAATTCCACTAGTATGTAGTCGTGTTCATATAACGAACACACCAGATATTATCATTGCATGTTTTGCGAGCGTATGAACACACCGTTTGTGGGTAAATACTTGGGTGGGAACTACTATGGTATGCACAGATTGTGAAGAACAGGTACAAAATATAGCTCAGTTTGTGTATAGAATATTTTTTGATAATTAGTCAAAATTTTACTTAATAATCTCAAGATTGCCTAGTAGAAATATATTAAAAAGTTTAATGGTATTAAAACTATGTATTAAAGATTATTTATAGTTTTATACATAAAAAATTAAAAATTAAACAAGCTTGACTAATTTAATACATTTTTATTTCAGATTTAAGTTACTCAGATTGTAAATCAGACGATGAGCGAAAGAAACGGCCTAGAACTGCATTTACAGCATCACAAATCAAATCATTGGAGGCAGAATTTGAAAGAAATAAATACTTGTCGGTGGCCAAACGATGTCAGTTGTCGAAAACACTTAAATTAACAGAAACGCAGGTAAAACAATAAACACTGTATTTTAAAAATAGTAGCTATTCTGGTGCTTTACTCATGACATAAACTAATAGTTAATTTCATCTCACTTTTTCTTTTTTCCCTGTCTTTCTCTCCAAAAAAAAAAAAATATATGTTTGAATATTTTAATAACAGATCATGTAGCACATCATGTCTTTAATAGGATTAGAACATTGGAATATTGAGTAATACATGGTACTTACTACTAATATTTTCTCTTGAGTAATAATCTAGCTTTCTTTCAAAGATTTATCTATCTAATCAATCAAGAACTTCCATCATTGGATATAGCCGTCCTCCTCTACCCCTAGAATAGTATAAATACAAGAACCGTCAAACGGCACTGAGGTCTTAATCTGCCTACTCCTCAGTGTCGAGTGAGTGACGACCGGTCTTGCCCTGTGAGGCTGCTATTATACCATCAGTATGCCCGTGTACGGTATGCGCTGACGTGGCATGAACTGACGGTGACGGTTGCGTGAGCGGTGTGACTGGGGATCGCTGAAGCATCGGTTGCCATGTTGCCGCCAGTCGTTTAGCGTCATCGCTAAAAATCGCTAACTGTTTTTCAACGGCCCTGTAAGGTTTTTTTCAATTTCGATGGCTTCACGAATGTTTCCGATTTTAAGGAGCGGATGGAAGCGATGGTTTTTGCTTTTTCGAAATCTATTTTATGGCCTGTCTGAATATGATGTTGGGCTAGGGCTAAAGTGGTATCGGAATGTTTGACTGATAGAGAATGTTTGTAAATACGTTTATGGATCCGTCGGTTTGTCTGTCCTATGTATGTACATGGGCAACTGGAACAAGGTATTTCGTAGACACCATGGTCTTCATTGGGGATTTGGTATTTTACGGATCTGACAAAAGATTGGATAACTTGGAGTAAGCAGTGAAAGTGGTTTTGATGTTTACTTGATCTTACAAGTGACATCTTTAATAAAAGGTAGAAAGATTTTGTCTTGATCCGGCGGCAACGTTTCTTTTTTGTACGGAATGGGGTTTAGATGTTTTTGAATGCACCTATTTATTTGGGTTTTGTGGTAGCAGCCGTTTTGTGAGAGTGTTTGTCTTATTGAATCGATTTTGGATGACCTGTAATTGTTGTCGCTACGGAAGTCTTATGCAACGGAAAATATGAGAGTTGATGACTGAATTGAGTTGGGCTGGGTGATGATGTGACTAGGCATTGAGTGGTTTGTATGAGTGGGTTATCAGTAGAAGGAATAGGAAAAACTGTAAGGTGAGTTTTTCTGAATAAGAACATCAAGGAATCACAAAGACGCTTCATACTCAACTTCCATCGTGAATTGAATACTTGGATGTATTCCATCCACATTGTAGCACAAATTAGTCACACTTTTCGCGTTTGAATCGGAATTAATATAACAACATACCAGTTGTTCCGGTGTAGTCTCCACCTCATCAGTTGACTTGTGATTGATACCAATTCAAACTACGAAAGCTCCAACTAATGTCTCCAAGATAGTAAGGGACAGAGCAGAATGACGAAAAAATATTGCAAAGGCTGAGACCCTTTTAAGGGCTGTAGTACCATGATGATAACGTATTTTATCAATGACATAACGTAGGTTATATCATATTTTCTAGGTGATTTGTTATTTTTTCTCAAGGTTTTTATTAAAATTATAGCTGGCAACCATGTTCCTCCTGTGGTCTAGTAGCAACTATTTGACCACTATTATAACCTAGTATTTCCTTTCGGGGGTAGGTCCTAGATGATAATTAATGCCATTAAACCTTTGTACAAGCATGGAAAAGTTAGACGCTCTAAACAAAGACATCTATTATATAAAAATAAATCGCAATGCTACTATGTACAGTAAGATGTCTTTCGATTCTAAGCCGCTATCTATAATTTCTTTTTTGTTACATCTAGAGAGGGTTCTTCAATTTTCTCTGTACATTTCTTTATTTTTTAACTCAAATCGTTTTTTGGGTTACTTTACAATTAATTTGAGATTATCTCTTGCAATTAGTTTCACGACTATTAATACAAACCAAAAACAAAAAACCCTTATTATTTTTAGTATTCGTTAAATAGTTTCTCTGAACAATTTTACTTTTCGTCGTCAATATTCCATATTAATCATACACATTATAATTACTACATATATTAAGTATTAGCATTGTATTAGGTAGTATATTATCTTATTTTATTGCTTTTAGATAAAAATTTGGTTTCAAAACAGAAGAACAAAATGGAAAAGAAAATATACGAACGATATTGAAATATTAGCCCAGCAATATTATAACTCCATGGGTATAATGACGCCTAGACCAATTTTTTTGGGAGATAGACTATGGTAAGTTAATTGCTGGTAATTTTCAAACACATCTCCAATAATTTATTTTTTTATTTACCTCATAGCATTTTAATTAACCATGTAACGAATATATTTTGCTTACCTCAGGGAAAGAACGTGGGGTAGAAGATTGGGCAAACAAAATAATCGAAACAAGTGCGTACGGCACACAGTTGGTTGTTGGAGAGCTGGGTCGTGGATAAGTTGAAGATTTGGGGGTTGGATTGGGGTATCTACAAAATGAAAACAAAAGGATACTTACATAAATCTCCTGGGTAAAAAAAAACGAATAAGATATGGCAGATAAATTTACCTCTAGCTATTTTTCTTTTCTTGGACGCCGCTTCGAAGAAAACTTCCTGCTGGGAGAAAGAAAAAAATTCTTCTTCCTTAAAATCTAAAATACATACAAGGATTAGGAGACTTTTCTAAATTAAAATACAAAATGGATCAGAGAAACAAATTGAACCTTTATTTTTGTCTCAAACAAACAGTTATCCAAAATATAGATTACAAAAGAAACATACTATATCATAATACAAAATAAACAAAACTTACATGTCTTTGTTTACATCAAAGATTGCTACAAAAATTTTAAATGGTTTCTAGGTTATAATATGACCAATTTAGTTTATCAAAATTTTATGGATATCCTTTTTATGAAAAATATTATTGAATTTAACCTTACATATGGAATATCTTTTATATAAAATAATCAAATTAAAATTATTTTATAACAATGGATTAAAGCAAAATGTCATATGTCAACATAACAATTTAAGACAGATTAAATTATGACATTTTTATCTAGGACAAATTAATATAAAACTTTAATTATTACAAATTCTTTTATTTTAATGAAAGCAATTATTAATAATGTACATATAACTTGGAAAATTAATATATTAAAAGTTACCTTTTTTATCTATCTTTTTTATAATCACTTAATTTTGAAACTTGTTACATCTCTGGGGAAGGCTTACTGGAACAAAATCTCAAACTGGAAAATATGAAAACATCAGAACCAATTCCCATTCTCCGGCACGAACGATCGAACAGGCTCAAGTTAAGGAATCAAACTAACAACGAGGACATCCTATATAGTACTTTTCAAAAGTTTTCAGCTTCTGTACAAATCTTCTGGTGACCAACTAGTCGACCAAAAAGGCACTTAATGCCAGAGTATCATCACGTCTATTAGTATTAAAACATTTCAAAAAAGTTGAATCGACTTCTTCCTCGTCCCCTTTTCCCCGCAGTTAGCCTGTCATCCACAAACTTAAACAAGACTTCGACTCCACACAACCTTGAAATTTCCTATCCTTTTCGCATGGTAACAAAAATTACCTGACTTGCGATATTTCTTTCTAAGAAACTATTTTTAAACTGAATATTAGTTGGCTAGTGTAAACAAAAATCGTTCTCACTACCAAATACGTCTTTATTTTATTACGCATTTAAAAATTTTGACTTCCACAACAGACACAACACATTTCTTAGTATACCAGGGGCGTACTATGACAATTTAGAACCGAATTTATATTATTATATAGATATTAAATATAAAACGCTACAACCATACTTAGTGAATATAAGTATTTCGAATATCTATGTATAGTATTTTTCATCCAAGTCACTACCACGAAGATCCTGAATGTAGAAATGTGGCAACTCTGGATATCTAAGGGTACCAAGAAATATACAAAGACCTTCTTAGACAAACTTACTGATTCACACAAAAAGGGCATTACAAGCTTGTACCAAAAGCGTGACAAATCCTTGATTTGTTGTTCAACTAGTTATGTTTTTATGTGGACGAAACACTTAACACTATTGTCATTTATATATTTACACTGTTGGCAAGGTATTGTCAAAAATGGATTTAGATTTTTATTTCTAAATTAAAAATTAGTTTTAAATAGTTTTGCAAACAGTAGTCAAAGGAGAATCACATCTTTATTCGACTATACATGGTTATACCTATGGTGGTACCAACGTACGTTTAGAATCTTGGATACATCATATCCAATTAAATTATAAAGACGAATAGTAAACTTGCCCTAAATAACGTTGAATTGATGAAAATAAATTGTTCTCGAATTTTATAACCATATATGAATTTCAATACCCGCTACGAAGCTGCCGAAATGAGAAGAATAATCAGTAAATTACATTTAGTCTTATTAAATGAATTGTAAATTTATAGACGAAAAAACTTGATCTTTTTTTATTTTAATCAGCTACTATAAAGTTAATATTATATAATTTATTTTTTAAATTTGAATAATTTTAAATTAACATTTTTTGTAGGTTTTTCAACTATCCTGGACAACCAGGCCTTTCCAGTGCCCAACCAGGACTCCCACCAAATATGCTACCAATTCCTCCAGGTCCACCGATGGGACCTCAAATGCCTATCCACCCGCAAAGGCCATGCATGAGAAACTATGTCGAATATGCACAAGAGCAACCAACAGAAATACCTCCAATGCTTCAGTTACAAAACTTTGGAAGACAATTTGAAAATTCGTGAAATTAAAACGGACAGATTTATTTAACTTATATTATTTTTAAACAAATTATATTACTGTAAAAATTACAAATAATAATTGTACAAGGAAAATTGTAAAATAACTATAGTAACATGTTTGGAATTGGTGAAGCAATTGAAAAATAAAACATTTTTTATAATAAAAGTTTAAACTTATTTTTGATTTTATTGTTGTATGTATTTTAATTACTCATATTACAGTACCTGGCCAAATTATTAGGCCAAGCAAGGAAAATTTACTATATGAAGTTATTTCTCCCATGGTTATAAATATATTTTAAAAAATTACTCTTTTGTACTTTTTTGTGAATATTAACTCTTATGTAATTAAACTGTATTTATTAAAAAAGTATAATTTTTACAAAGTCCGATGGTTCTTTATTTCTTTTAGCTGCCCTTACTTCTGACACTGTGAAGGGTAAAAGTACTTCAGATCCCTGATTTATGAGAATACTTACTCGTATCGGTAAATTGTCTTGTGGTCTTTGGCTGGTATAGAAGTCTTTATAAAACTCTTTAGTTATTTTCAGATTGCACTGTTTATCTTGTATAGTCCTTTTTAAATTTGTATTAGTTCTCTTCTTATTATCTTTAAACCTGTTTTCTCTTTACAGTTTGAGTAAATTCATTAGTATTATATGTTCTTAGTTTTCCTAATTTCTGCTAAAATTATTTAATTTAGTTTACTATATTCTTCTTTTTTCTTGGCTTTCTCGCCGTTTCGTCATATTTCCATTAGAACTTTTGTATATTTGCTAATCTGTTCGCTTTGGTGGCATTTTGTTGCAAAATTTGAGTTCTGCACTTTTAGCCGAGTCTGAATTTGTTCTAGAATTTTCCTGCCTTCCTGTGTATATCAATGCTTTAACCTCTTCACTGGCTGGAAATGCCTAGTTAGTACTGTATAGTCTCTTTCTTTTATGAGACTCCTTTCTGTCTTCTTTTTATCGTGCCATCTTCTAACGAAGTTTGGCGATCACTTCTTTAAACGCTTTCCTATCTTTTGCAACGTGAAATATTTTAACACTGAGGTTAGTCCATTCTCTGATATTCCTCCGCCAAGATATCTTCTTTCTTCCCTCTACTCTTTCGAAGTATGTGGCCCAGATACGATGTTTTTCTTATTTCAATTGTTTTTATAAGCTTTCTGCCATGTGCAATTCGTCTTAATACTTCATCATTTGAGACTTTTGCTGTCCAAGGAATTTTAAGAATGCGCCTATATAGCCATATTTCGAATGCTCCCAATTTATTGCTTTTCCCTTTCTATCTACTTTTATTTTTTTTTCATTAATCTTTATAAACTTTTAATTCCCGAATCACCTTCTTTTATAAACGAAACGATTTTATCGAACTATGGGTTGAGTTTACTGAAAGTACAAGCTGAATATAGCTGCAAATGTCAACCATGAAATCATAGATAAATAATATAATGCATAAAATATAATATTTGGTCTTGTCAGTGTTGGGATGTTTTTATAATGCATTATGTTATATGCTTCAAATATAAAGAGAGAAAGCTTTTAAAAAGTACATTTTGGTTATACTATTTCATGCATTCTGCAATTTTTAGTTTATATAAAACAATAACGAGTGAAGATTTGACTCTTTCGAGATTAATTTTATTGCAAACATCTGGCAGTTGCAGTCTGGCAACTGTTGATTTGACGATTGCCAAATCTATGCCCTAATCTATCAAAGGATAATTGCCAATAAAATTTCTAATAATTAACTGCAATTATTCTCCAAAGAAACAAATATTTATTTATTCTTGTTTTATATAAATATATAAAACATATCTATAAAAACCACAAGAGACGAAGTCAAAGAGGAGATCAATAACATAATAAACAGCATGGTAATCTCAGATATTATTCAAGAAAACATAAGTGTGGATGATATGTGAAATAAAATCAAAAATATCTGTAATTCAGTGGTAGATAATAAACTTAAACCAGAAAACAATATAAAGAAACAGCCGTGGATAATACAAGAAATATTAGAACTAATAGAAGAACGAAGAAAACACAAAAATAAGAATGAGGAAAGATACAAAGAAATAAACAAAATCATTAAGAAACATATTAAACAAGCAGAAGAATCATGGCTACAAGATGAATGCATAGAAATAGGATCCCTAGAACAGAAGCATGACACTTTTAACCTACATAAAAAAATCAAAAACTTAACGGGAGGAAACGGATCACGAAGTCATAACTTAATATTAGACGAACACAACAATCTGCAATATGCAATAAAAAGACTAAAAACCACCAAAGCACCTGGACCTGATAACATACAAGCTGAAATATTGAAACTATTTGAAAACAACCAACTCAAACTCCAAACGAGTCTACTGAATAAAATCCATGAGACTGCAGAATTTTCTACAGATTGGCTAGTCTCCACCTTCATCCCTCTCCCCAAAAAGGCAAATACCACCAGATGCTCTGATTACAGAATTATAAGCTTAATGAGCCATGCACTCAAAATATTTCTTTTTGCGAATTGCTATTGCTATTGTAAATTGCGAAGTCTACGCATGCTTTATAGATTTTGAAAAAGCATTTGACAAGGTGCAACATCAAAAATTATTTCAGATACTGAAAAAATCCAGTATTGATGACAAAGGTTTACGCCTAATTAAAAATTTACACTTACAGCAAAGAGCAACTGTACAAGTAGACAACGAAACCTCACAAGAATTCACGATAAAACGGAGAGTACGTCAGGGCTGCATTTTGTCACCGACGTTGTTCAATAGTTAATCGGAAATGCTGTTCAGAGAAGCTGTTGATGGTTTATTCAATTGAAATAGGAAAAATTTAAATAATTTACCTTGAATGATATTTCATAAGGCTTCAAGCTAACTGCAGATGACTTTAGCTTTTATATCATAACTTTTACTATTATTGTTTTTAATTATATGCTCTTTTGCGTGAAAGACTTGATTTGCCAGTACTAGATTTTTTCGTTTCTTTTCCGTTTGGAGTTGAAAAGATATATTATGATGAATTTTGAGACACCCAGTTTTTAATACTACATTTATTTTGTACATAAACTAAAAAAATATAGTTAAAAAACTAATTTATTAATAATTGTCAATTTCGCATGTATATAACAATGTCAAACATATGTCATATGTTTAACCTGAAAATTGGGAGGTCCAAAATTGTCAGATGAAGGCGGTAGGTGTCGCGTCAGTCACGCACGGAGCGAATAGCCTCATGAAAAAGTCAGGATTATGTAATGAGTGTACACAGATTTCGCCATCACCGTTATAATAAATTGTGCACTTGTCACTAAATTTTGAGATAAATGGTGCCTCAATCAGTTTCTTTGAACCTTTTTATACAACAAGCATCAAACCTGGTGAACTATTATAGAACGTCTGTTTAAAAAAAAAGTAAAACCAGCATAGGATGTAAGTCTTATGTAAAAGCGCATAAGAAAACTATGGATTTGCGTCCTTTTATCATGTTCAAAAATTGTTATGCATGTAATTTCTTGTCCTTCTTTGCCATTGGTTACCCTAAGGGTGGATAGAGTTTTATTTTTATTCGATAGTATAACTCTTCAAGAGTATCAAGTTAAAATTTCAGAGTGACCAGAGCAAAATTGATGGAGGTATTTATGAGTGAGGGATTGAAGTGAGTGAGTGAGTGAGCTTGGTGAATGAGTGAGTAGGAGCAAAGATGCTCTAGATATTTTATCAGCATGCACGTCGCCATATGGGCCTGGAATAGACGATACAGTATGAATATAAGAAAAAAATAAACTTTTTTTAAACGCGTTTTTTTCGGATTTTTGTAAGTCGATGTTTACTGTATCTCAAAAGTTACTTGATAGATTCCTATCAAATTTACCACACTTCTTATTTAGATAAATTACTAGGTTGCAACGTCGAGATATTGTCCATTTTGTTGCTATAATTAATTTAGAACATCAAATTAGTCAAATTTTAACAAAAAATTTTCATCTTGTAAAATTAGCTGTCAATTTCTTAATTTTTAATATTTCTGTACTTACCAAAATTTCAGAAAATACACTTGCAATATTGTGTTATAATTTACTAATGTTATAAATAAATTTATATTATTCAATTTAAAAAAAATCTTAAAAATAGGTATGATTGAAATATTTAAAATAAACCCCTTATAGTTTATCAACTTCACCTCGATCTGTGTGGAAAAAATGAATCAATCACAATAATAATATATTATTTTATTAGCGTAGTTGAAAAGAAATTTTTAAATAATTATGAAAAATTCTATATCACAAAATTATTTCAAACCTAAATGTAAATTTTGTCCTTATCCTAATTTCAGAGCGGAAGAACTTATATATTAAGCGTAGATGTATCCATAGAAGTATTTTGCGCTGATATCGCATTGTACAGTTCATCGTCTTCGTCCAACAAAGCTTGCATACGCTTCTTGTAACTAAAAAATATAAAGTGATTGTGTAGTGAAGAGACGGATTATGAAAATAATTCGGTGAGAAGAATGGTAAGAAAAAGAAAGATGTCTTTATAATACAAAAGCTAATTAAACAACATCACTTACATTTCACTATCTGGGTTGTTATCCGGATTTCTACATTTTTCGAGCTTTTTGTCTAAGATCTTCTGTTGATTTTTATCTGGCACCGAGTCCGTCATTTTTACCATGGATCTAATAGCTAAAAAAAATACAAAATTAATAGATTTTTATCACAAATTAATCTCTGGATATACAATCTTATAAATGAACTACGTTGCTGGGTAACTCTTCCCTAAATTAAGCAAAAACACTCTTCACGACGCGTTAAGATGATTTATTAACTATTTCAGTGAGACATACTTGTACTTAAGTATTCTATGTTCCACACCATGAATATGTTAACAATTAAGTCATGTCATAATGTAAATGTCAAATTTTATGGAAGATTGCACCGTATGCAACCAAAAAGCTGTTTGAATACTTTCAACTACTTCTTATAAAATTTGATGAGTTGAAAACGAAAATGATATCTAAGAATCTCTAGGACGTAAGGATTTTTGACGCAATAAGAATGCAGATTATTTAAACCATTTAGACCATCTGAAAAACACATAATATCGTATTATGTTCTATATAGACACTGCAAATTGCACCACTGATGCGGAAGTATTATCAATCTTACACATGATAACGAACTTGTGCGCAGGATGCCAAGTGCACATCGGTATCACAAGGTATACTATATTTACGATGCCTACTCAGTTTTGTTCCTTAACTTGAAGAGATATTATCAACTGTTTTTTTTTTCGATAACATATTCTGGTTTGTGTGATGTGACTCACCAACTTAGAATTATTATAATTTTGTTTACATAGTAATTATTTAGTAACATGGTCTAGCGAAAGCGCAGAAATACTCCTCACTCTTTTTATTTTATCTGTATCAAATAGTGTTACAGCAACAACTCAATACAACAAACTTTGCGAAAAAAGTATATCTTGCACGCTTTGGACTAAATCTTCGTGATCAAGAAAAAGATTAGGCTTCGCATAAAGTTTGCAGAAGATGTCTGCAGAACCTTTGAAACAGATTTAATGGTAAAAAGAAAAGTTTTTCATTTGTGATAACTATTTCAAAGCATTTCATTTTATATCCAAATCTCCCCTCAGCTATTCATCCTTTTCCTCATGGTGCAGAAACACCTGTGCCAAAGCCCTTGGTACGTTAAGAGAAATATCAGACCCAGATGAAATACAAAATCAGGACGATCAGGATTCAAGCACTGACTTTAAAGATTGCTTTCTTCTTCTTAACATGCCCAATCCCTAAGGACATTGGCAATCATCATGGCCCATTTGACTCTGTCTGCAGCCATTCTGAAAAGTTCTATTGACGTTTTCCCACTCCATTATCTTAGAATCTTCAACCAGGGCGTGCATCTTCTCCCCAGTCCTCTTTTGCCTTCCACCTTCCCTTTTATGACCAGCCTCATCAAGTAGCTCATTTTTCTTTTCTTCATAGTGTTGAGTATTTCTTTATGTTTTTTCATTCTTTTTAGAGTTTCCGCATTTGTTATCTGTTGTGTCCAAAATATTTTCCACATTCTTCGATAACACCATTATTTCAAAGATTGTTATGAATATTGTGAACTTTGTTTTGTGAGTTTTGACAATGTCAAAATCACAGTGTTTTATTTAGATCAAGTTTTTGTATTATAAAAATTTTCAATTATTTTGATGCATTGAAATTATTTTAGTTAGACTTTAGATTAGATCTTAGTTAGATCTTTTGATTTAATTGATACAAATTTAAATTTAAAAATAATATACCTCTAACAGCTTCAATTAATTCACTCAATTTGTCACGCCCATCTACTCCAAAAAGTGTATCAGTGACATAAGAATCCAAATTTTCCTGAAGCTTGGAAGCTGCGTGTAACACTGCTGCTAGAGCCACCTGACTAGGGGAGTACAGTAAAATAGCATCTGTTAAAAGAGTTCTCTCTAGGAAATGTTCAGTACCTGGTCTCAATCTTTCAGGATCGTGAAGGGTAGTTCTAGTCTAGAATGTAAAAACAATTTCACTTTACTTTAAAATACCAAAATATATAATACACAAATATTTTCATTTCAAATAATTCAGAATAAAACAAATGACAACAATTTTTAAAAATGTGAAAATAGAAAAAATAATTTCTGATATAACAATTAACTGTTCAACCGATTTATTAAAATCTTTTAACATTTCATGAAAAGGTAATTAATAACATGTTGATGCATATCTTTTCACTCTTCTTGAACAGCAAAAATAAAGTCCTGAGAGAATATAGGGAAAATTTCTTGACTGCATATTGCTCCACAAAGATGTTAAAAACTTTTCATGTCTGTTTCAAATATTTTTCAAAACAGATGAACTTGTGAACTTCTGTTATTCCTCAATCTTTCGGATGGTTTTCCGCCGAAAATATTGGTAAAGTTCTTGATCCAATTACCACTTGTTAGTTTTAAACATGTTTGAAGTCAGTTCAAACATAGCCAGTGAGTAAATAACCGAATAAAAAAATCACTGACACGAAAGTGTTTAACCCAGATATTACTACTGTCCTTTTAAAAGGCAGTGTAAATTATGCGTAATTTAGGTTAGTACAGTTACCAACTGATAGATGGCTCTAGATGGAGTGTTTTCAAGAGCCAGCATTCGACAAGTTTTAACGATTTTAGTGCGCGCACATGCTGTAATTGTGAGGTTATCTGTGTAAATTGCCAGATTTTGGACTACAAAATGGATGCTTATAATTGGAGGTAAGTCTAGAATTAAAAAACTGTTATTTTACGGCATTGGCATGTGGATTATTGTATAATAGGGACTTATGTACGTATATTCTTGGCTAGAATAGTTGTCACGTTGTTTCAAAGGCTCGCCGCTTGGGATTTCATTTTGTTCTTTTAAAAGGACGGTAGTAATTAGTACTACCAACGTGCGTATTGTTTCAGGAGGCCTCTCAAATTGCATGAGATATTAGAAGAGCTGATTCTGATGAAATCCCAGTCCCTCCAGATGGTTTGATCATATTTCCCCCAGAAAATGCCAATGATGATGTCACCGATTGCGACTCCGGCGATGAAGAATTAACTACAATAAATAATTTACCGGGTAGTCAGATGAGAAACGATGTAGAAATTGTTTTTTACAACGCGACTGAATTACCACAAGATTCTGTGAATTCCAGCCTACCAGAAGAAGATTCGGATGATGACAATATACCATTGGCTTTGTTTCTTTCCAAGGAAAAGCTGCCCAATCAATTAGAGAAGAGAATATCTGCACACTGGATTCAAGGAGACTTTTATCAACACCCTGATTGTACTTACTGGAAAATTCAATTTGGACCGAAAATGACTCAGTCGCCGATGGAAATTTTCAATTTGTTTTTTTTGATGATGAAGTCATCAATTTGGTTACCGAATACACTAACATCTACGCAGGACAAAGAAATCTTTTGAACGACATTACTCAAAATGAGATTCGATGTTTTATAGGCGTTCTTGTATTGAGTGGTTATGTGGTTGTGCCGAAAAGGTACATGTACTGGGAAAATCGTGACGATTCGCACAACGCAATGGTGGTAGCTGCTATATCTAGGGATAGATTTTCCCACATAATGAAAGTTTTGCATGTTTGCAATATCTTGTCATTAGATAAATTTGATAGATTTGCCAAGATGTGACCCCTGTTCGACATAATAAACAAAAAATTTATACAATTTTCCCCTTTAGAACAACATCACAGCATAGATGAGGCAATGGTTCCGTATTTTGGTCGCCATCCCACAAAACAATTCATCAGGGGAAAACCAATCCGTTGGAGGTACAAAATGTGGGTAGGAGCCCTTCGTCTGGGATACATAGTTTGGTTTTCTCCCTACCAAGGTAATTCCACTACAATACATGAACAATATAAAGTCCTTGGATTGGGTGCATCAGTAGTTCTATGCTATGCAGACAGATTGAATGAAGTATGGCCTCAAAGGCGATTCCATCTTATTTTTGATAATTATTTTACTTCTATTCATTTACTGCATGAGCTAAAACAAAGAGGCATATTTGGTACAGGCACTGTAAGGGAAAATCGCACCATGAAATGCCCTTTACCCTGTTCATCTATTATGAAAAAAACTGAATGTGGTAAATATGAGTATCGTCTTGATAAAAATACAGGAATAGCGGTTTGCCGCTGGCATGATAATAATATCGTTTCTATTGCTTCCAATTTTGTACCAGTAATGCCTTGCTTCTCTGTAAAGAGATTTTCACAAGCAGAAAAAAAACATATTTAAGTTCCTCAACCAAATTTGTTAGAATATACAATAACAAAATGCGTGGCAGATTCACAAAACTCAAGACGGTAAACTGGATCAACTTGAATTTAGAAGATCTATTGCAACTAATATTTTGGAAACTTTTAAAAAAGAAACAAAACGCGGACCTTCTAAGCGGAATTCGAATTCGGTAGCCAATTCAAGATATGACGGTATTAACCACTTGGTTCTTTATCAAGAAAAGCAATCACGATGTGGATATTGTCACAAAAATATCCAGTTTTTGTGTGAAAAGTGCAAAATACCTTTACATCCAAAATTTTGTTTTAAATCCTTTCATTCTTTGTAAATTGATACTAATAAAATATATATCATATCTGGTACCGTATATTACTACCGTCCTTTTAAAAGAACATGTCAAAACTTGACAGGTATTGTCATAAAAAAATATATGATTGTGTTTTTTGGTTCCATATGCTATAATTTCTATGAAAATTCGCAATAAATTCAAAATGTTAACAATAAAAGTTTCACTAACATCTGGGTTAATACTTTACTTAGTTACTTGGGCTACTCGATTAGAAAACTATTGTAACAAATCCGGATCTAGTAGGTAGTTTTAAGCCATAGTTTGTAGAATATAGTAACCTTTATGAACATTTAAATAAAATGTAAATAACTTGAACCCAGAGTTAATATTCCCTTAACAATTGGAGTTTAAAATGGTGGGATAAATTGATTAAATAATTTATACACTAAAAATAAATTGTTCTAGAAATTTAAATACTAAAGATATATGACTATTGAAGTGATTCAGTACTAAAAAACATTTGTGAACAATAATACTAGCTTTTTGGTCATAAGTAAAGACTATTTAAATATTTTGAAAAGATAATTTAACAAATACCATTTAAGAACAATAAAAATTTGATGAAAAATGTAAGCAAGCAATAGACAAAAGAAATGAACTTTATGTGGGGTACATCCAAAAGAAGAAAACAAGAAAGACGTGAAAAATTTAAAGATGAACAAACAAAGATGGACAAAATTTGTGAAAGAAAGAAGGGGGCATATGAAAATGACTAGGGGAGGATTGTTTCAATTAGAGTAATTCTAGGGAAGCACATAAATATCTGAAACAACTCATAAGAAGGATATAAAATAAAAAGAAAAATGCAGTATGGGCAAGAAATATATAATAGTCAAAATAAGTCAAAAAGTCTATGGAAAATCGTTAAAGAAATCACACAGGTAAATTCTATCGATAATAATATAGCTATACTAACGAGATCCAGTCATGGTAAGTAATAATTTTAATGAATATTTTTTAAATGCTGCTACACATCTTTTAGAAAATATACCAAAAATAGAATTCAGCACCAAAATACAGTTTAACAAAAACTCATTTTTTCTAACGCCAGTAACTATAAATGAAATAATTGACTTAATTAGAAAATTGAAAAATAAATCCACTTCAGGTTATGATGGGATACCTACAAATATAATAAAACTGTGTGCATAGCTATACCATTATGTCATATAATAAACAATACCTTCATAAATGGGATATTTCCAGACAACTTAAAAATAGCTGTAGTAAAACCAGTGCATAAAAAAGGTGATACCACTTTGATAAGCCTCTTACCATCATTCTCTAAGGTTTTTGAAACAGTAATGTGTGTCAGGCTTCTCAGTTGTTTCTATAGTGAGGGACTGTTATGCCATGCACAACATGGGTACCTTAAGGGAAAATCTATAGACTGCCATTTATGATTTTATAACAAAGATAAATGAGGGTTATGAAAACAAAGATATATCCATGGGCATATTTTTAGATTTATCGAAAGCATTTGATACTTTAAATCACAAAATACTAATGGAAAAGCTTTACAGATATGGTATTAGAGGGCCAGGTTATAATTGGATAAAATTATACCTATCAAACAGAAAACAGTAAGTAAAATTTGAGTATGAGGGAAGACATTACTTCTCTGATGAAGGTCTTATTTCGGTGGGAATTCCATAGGGAAGTATTATTTGTCCTCTTCTCTTTGTTTTTTATGTAAATGATTTAGCTTTAGACCTAACAGATAACAATCAGAATACTCTTATTGTGAAAGCACAGAGATGGCTCAATATGAATAAACTCATACTGAACAGAGAAAAAACAAATTATATATGTTTTGTCACTAAAACAAATAATAGTATCTTACCAGAAACTGTCTCAATTCAATCGCAAATGGTTACTCTAAACCAAAGCACAAAATTTCTGGGGGTACATATTGACCAAAATTTAGATTTTGGAGTGCATATAAATGAGATCTGTAACAGGTTAACATCTATCTGCTACTCTTTCAGAATAACAGCAAATTATTTGGACGAAAAATATAAATGAGTTGTATATTTTTCAAATTTTCATTCTGTAATGCGATTTGGAATAGTTTTCTGGGGGGGAAATGGTAAAAAAGAGCAATCAGAACTCTACTTAACTTGAGATACAGAGGTTCATGTAGAGGTAATTTCAAAAAGCTAAACATACTAACAATGGCTGGAACATACATATATGAAAGCTTACTTTTCATTTTTAAAAATAGACATACTTAAATTCTTGAAACACATAACAAACCATAATACTAATACACGAAACAATCTCATAAACTATAATATACCAATACATAGACTAACAGCATCTGAGAAAACCACAGAATATGCCTGTATTAAATTCTTTAATAAACTGCCTTACAGCATCAAAATAGAAACTGACGTAAATAAATATAGAAAGTCTGTTCAACAATTGCTCATACACCTTGAACCATACAAAGTGGAAGAATACCTTCAAGCTGACCTGTAGGCAGACTAAGGGCTCTTACCTGAATCTAAATGTCACTGTTATTATCATTATGTTTTAATATTACTTTTATGTTAAGTGTAGGTTGTTACAGCAACCATTATAAATTGTAACTGACACCATTCTCTCTATTGACAATTTATATTTGTATGTAACTTGTGAATCCTGAGAATAAAGCTTTTTTCTATGCTATTCTATAAATCACAAACCAATTTTTGTAAGAATAGTAAAGGACAAATTATGAGTGATGGTACAACCATAAAAGCAGGTTGGGGATGCTACCTTCCTTACTCATACAACTACTAGTACAACACAAGAACACTAAACTACAGTTATCTGCTACATAGATTAACGCAAAATAATGTCTATAGTTATACAAAAATGTATAAGCTTTCAAATGAGCTGAAATGAATCTTAGATCGAAAAATACTAAAACACAAGAATATTAATACAGACTTACCTTAATATCAATTAATAACCCTTCCACTGGTCTATACGGATTATGAATGGACAAATGAAAATTGAGCTGTTCCATGAGCAACAATTCATTATTTAATATAATATCTGTAGCCTTATCTCTATCTCCTTTAATGTTTGCCACAAATTGTTGAATAGATACATTGAATTCTTCTACTTTAGATGCTAAATAAATACAAGTAACCCTACAACATCATTATTTATTAAAATACCAGCTGTAAATGTTTGTTCTTAAATATTGTATGAAATGTGATATTAATTTATTACAATTCACAGCAATGGCAACATATGATTAATATCATGTATGTGATACAAGCAATGTCCGAAATTGGACAATCCTAGAATTGTAGAGAAAATATTGTCCACTTCTAGCATTGTACCCCTTTACTGTACAATCATAACATAACATAACAATATCTTTATTTTTAGAAAATAATATACATTCCGTGAACATAAAATTATTTAAAAAAAAAACAGTGTCACAAATGAAGATATTATTTACTTATTCCTAACCGTTACATATACAAATAGTCCTCCACAGAATCTGGCTCAAGAGCTACCAGTAATTTAAATATTTGATGTTTATACAAACTTAATCTTTCCTCCCTTTTAATAGGTTCAGAGAGTTTATTAAACAATTTGATGCAGCAATAAAGAGCATTTTTTTCTGTTATACTTAACCTGTGTATTGGCATAAAGTTCCTAAAGAGTATTTTATTTTTATATAGAAAGAGTAAGCATTCTTGAATAAATACAGCGTAAACTGTTAAAATATTATTACTCCTAAACTGCCCTCTACATGATTCCCTACTTTTTAAGTCAAACATAACTCTGATTATTTTTTTCTGAACCAGAAATACATTATTTATGTCCCTACTGTGGCCAAAATTTATTAGACCATATCTAAATTTTGCTTCAAAATTAGCATGATACACTGTTTTTAATGAGTTACTATTCATGTATTTTTTTAGAACTCTAAAGCTGTAAATCACTTTACTCAAAGACATACATAACTGGTCAACATGTTTATCACAACATAAAAAACTGTCAATATATAATCCTAAAAATTTGGTACTGCTGCTAATATTTAAAGTGTCATTATTTACAATAATACTGTTTGGCATATCTGAATGTGCATAATTTGTCTTAAACAAAAGAAGATCTGTTTTATTTTGATTTAAAAATACACCTATTCATAGAAACCCAGTCTTTAGCTTTCTGGAACTCTAAACTAGCATTAACGCTTAGAACAGACATGTCTTTACCACTGACTAAAATGTTTGTATCATCTGCATAATTTGTTATGCTGGAAGTAGTATTAGCCACTAGACCATGAAGATCATTGATATAGATCACAAACAGTAAAGGACCAATCACACTTCCTTGTGGTACTCCAATATTGATAGTGCTTTCAGATGAGATGCCTATTTCAGTGTTTTTATGTATTTTTACTAAATGTCTCCTATTTGCCAAGTAGGACTTAAACCAGTTCAATGCTGGTCCACGTATACCATATTTCTCCAATTTATCAAATAATATGTCATGCACTAAACAGTCATATGCCTTTGATAGGTCCAAAAAGAGACCCAAAGCCATATCCTCTTCAGTCCCGACATTGCAGAATGTATTATTTAATAATAATTTATTATTTTACGGAGTGTTTTAGGCCTAAATAAGACTATGATTGTGTTAACAAAGCTCTAATTGATAACAGTCGCCGTTATCAATTTGTACACAAATGTGCACTCTAGTATTGTACGTAGAATATTCTCTCAACTAATTTGTACACATATGTGTATACAGGGACCAAACAGTAAATGAAAGTTATAAAAACAAATTAAAATATTTTTTTATTTTGAACAATGAAAGTCTTTAAAACAATTTCTATCTTTAAGAATACACAAATATACATTACATTTGGTGCACTTTATTCTAGATCGACCCTTACAACCTTCTTTTCGGCATCTCTGGGCAGTTGTCAGATCTTCTGCTACAGGTAAATGCTTAGCTTCATTACATCGCATTTGTTGAAGAGGAATAGCAACAAATCCAGGTCTACCACGGCATTTCTTTTTTGCAGTAGGCCCATCTTCATCCTCATCAGATAAAGTTCTTTTAGTCTTATTATTTAAAATCAGTTCCTGTGCGATTTCTGTTTTAAAATCCAATAAGTCCATAACTTTTCGACGAGGAACCTGATGATTACTGCACTCATTTCTGTATTTTATCCAGGAGTTCACTACACTCATATCCATGAAGTGTTCCATGAGCCGGACTGTCCATTTCTTTGTCCTGTGATAGGAACGATAGGTTGATATCATCCGATTTACCAAGTCTACACCTCCCATATTGGTATTGTAGTTTTTAACAATATTGGGTCTTTGAACATAAATGTAACCTTTATCGTCTTTGGAATATCTTTTTGCCTCATCCAAAGGTCGATCACTATGTATTGTTGAAGCCAGTAGTACAGATCGGTTATCCATCCATTTGACAATGCATATTTTGCCGTCCTCTCTAGTTCTTGAATCTATACACCCTCTTCTCATCTTTTTCATTTCGGCATCTGATTTTAATCCGATTTTTGGAAATCGATTTGTCATTATTGTTCCTGTTGCAGAAATCCCTTTTTCGTGAAGAATTTCTAAGAGTGCAACTCCAGTAAAATACCTGTCAAAGTAAACATTTGTACCTGCTGGGCATGTTTCTATTAATTTTAAGACAGCTCGACCTCCTGTACCTAATTTCGAATTAGGATCGATCGGAAAATTTGTGGTAGCTCCTTGATAAATGAATGAATCTAAAATGAGTCCCTTTGGAGATGATAACACATAGAGTTTAAGTCCAGTTGGATTGGGTTTTCTAGGTACATACTGCCTAATTCTAACATGACCAGCGAAAGGAATAATTTGCTCATCTATACAAACATGTTTTTCTCTTGGTAGATTTAAAACTGCTTGCTGAAATCTTTGGATTACGGGCATTACTTTCCATAATCTATTTTCTTTCTTGTCATTTTCAGAAAATGAATTATTGTCGACAAAGTGAATTGTGTTTCGCAATAAAAAATATCTGTCCCTTGTCATACAATCCGCTATTAAAGGAACTCGGTAATGGGTAGCCCAATACATATTTATTCTTGGATACTTTAATGTACTCATAATTAAAGTGATTCCTATAAAATTTCGAATCTCAGAAGCAGTTGTGTTTAGTACTTTTCCACGAACTTGGTGAAAATTAATATTAGTTTGTGTAGCAACTAACTCAAAAAAATCATTGTTATAATAATCGTCAAAGTATTTTAATGGTAATGGCTCAAACTCGCTGCTTGAATCTGATAAGTTAGTTTCAAATTCTGGAAATTTAGTTTTCAGTTTAAATTTTTTGTCCCATTTAAAATTAATTTTTTTCAAATTCTGTTTTTTAGGAGCTTCCGCGCTAGTATTTTTTTGGACATCATTAACAGTTCTATTTTCTGCTGAGTTTTCACCCTCCGTCTTGACTTCATCTGTGTGTGCACTTTGAATTACATCTCCAGTTTCTTGTTTGTCATAAATACTTTCTGTCGGACTAATCTCCTGTTCATCTCCGTTTGATTCGGAATCACTTAAATGTTCACCTCCGTTAAGAGTATTCTCCTGTTGAAAATTTTGAGTTGTCTCTTCATTCTCTCCAGCATCACTGTCTGATTCGAGATCACTTAAATCACTCAAATCAGGTGTGTAATTTTCGTCTGCTATAGAGTCATCAAATTCATCTATGTCACTTTCATCAAGCAGAGATAAAAGTTCTTCTTGAGTTAAAGGTTTTTTTCGATCTGTAAAAAAATAACGCGTTTTTAGAAGTTGATTAATATTTACTACTAACTACGAACTAGTGTACACATAGAATGTAATTGTTTGGGTTGGAACCTTAAAATATCTCTATTGAGTAAATACCATTTAAGCAAAAATTAAATGAATGACATGGTCACAGTTGCAGTTATCCAAAATAAAAATAGATCTGTCTCGACGTTTTTTGCTTAAATGGTACTTAATTGAGATATTTTAAGGTTTCCAACCCAAACAATCACCCTGTATGTAGCCATAATAATCAACAGTACAACTAGGGCTGGGAACTAGTGTACACATATGTAGCCATAATAATTAATAGTAGAATCAGTGCTGGGTACTCGATTACACAAATGTGTACAAATCTCTTTATGTCTCCAAATTTCTGATAATGCAAATTTTGTATACATTTGGGAACTTCGACAACACGGAGTAATACTAATAGAAGACCAAATACTATTTACAGCTTAAAATGATGTTATAATAACAGTACTTACCACGTTTATTTAAGTCACGGTATGGAACCATTTTTCTACGATTCTCCATGATGTTACTACTGCTTCCATCTATGAGTGATTTACCGAACTTCACTATAGAACGGTCGAGGGTAGTGTCCTGTAGTAGATACATTACCAAATACAGGTTTCTTTTTCATTATTTCCACGATATAAATGTAACTGAATTAGTACACACATGTGTACAAAAGGAGTGAAGAGGATATGACCAATTTCAGTACATTTCAAAATATCCCAGACAAATTGAAAAATCACAGTCTTGAGTTGATTTTCCCTGTTGATAACCATGCTGATTTGCACTAATAATATGACATTTTGTTAAAAATTCTGTTATCCGCCTATACATAGTCATTTCTAAGATTTTTGAAAAGGAACATAGAAGGCTAATTGGTCTATAGTTATTAATTAATTTAGGATCACCCTTTTTGTAAACAGGTGTTACTATGGCAGTTTTCAGGCATTCAGGAAATAGTGAATTATTTATGATTGTAGTGAGAGGATTCACTATCTCCTTTATACAAAGTTTAAGGATTTTAGTGGGTATTTCATCAATTCCACAACTCATTTTGTTTTTTAAATTTTTAGTTATATCCATAATTTCAGTTTCTGTCACAGGTGCGACAAACACTGAATTTATGTTACTTGCAATGTTGTCTTTGTATCTCCAATCTCCGAAATGACACAATCGTCAGACTTTGTATAAAATAATTTATGTACAATGTTCGAATTTCAATAAATAGCCATGAATCAAAGTTTGGGAGAAGCTGAGAGGAGAGGATTAGGGCTACTGACTTGTGGAATGTAGGATTAAATTATTTTAAATTATCTGAAATGTTTCACAAACATCTTCTTTAAGCTTTGAAATGTTTCACTAACATTATAACTCTATTGTAGAACAATTTCTTCTGATTATTTATATTTTAGTTTGACACATCATTTTATCACATTGTCGAACCAAAAAAGAACAACTTTATACCTAAATAGAAATGTTCGATTTTTGATTTTGTGTGTCACTTGTCAATAATGGTCAATTCGAATCGATGAGCGTTTCAACAATCATTCTTAATTTTGATCATTTTGGACATTGTACAGTTTATGGGTACAATACTAGAAGTGGACAATAATTTCCGTACAATGCTACGATTGTCGTTGGGGCTTTGCTTGTAACATATGTATTATAAGGAAAAAAGAAAAGAGAACAATTATTTTAGAATGAAAATATAACACAAACAGCCAAATTGATGAAGCTAACAAGAAAAACTGTGCATAAGAAAAGGCAAGATCGACAGAGTTGGAAAGGACAAAAGAAACTAACAGGATAAACTGTTTTATAAGGATTTATAAAGTAGTAATTAGTTTATATATATTATTATTTAAGCACTTAATACTTGTACATATTACTTACATTATTTCTTTTGGATGAAAATTCATTACCGAATTATGTATATAAAACCTTTTGAAATAATGAAATGCAGTTCCTACAACATATCTTGGCATGGGAGGTTGAAATCTTTTACAGAAATCTCTCAGGTGAAGTTCATAGCGTTTGACCATTGTCTTCTCTTCTTCCGGTGTTAAAAAATAATCATGTTTGGGAATATCCTACAATTAAAATATGTTACATACGGATCAAATACATAATTGAAAATAAATTTACTGGTGCTTGTCGACCATATATTTGGATATGTTTACTATTAGCCTTTTCCCTAAGTTTATTAAGTTCATCTTCACTACTGAACATCCAATATTTACACTGCGTACTTGTGGGAAACATAATAAATATTTATATAATATATATTTAATATAAAAAATATGAGGTTAGAATTGGCAAAAGAAACAAACAGCCAGTATTTTTGAATACCTGTCAAATTGACATGCACCACAGCGACATCTTTTGGAAGAATATGATATTATTTTGCCTTTCGTATAATCATCTGTACTGGATTTTGAATAAAACTTTTTGGTTTAGGAAAGTGCCAAAAGATAACACCGCCAGTGACAATATTAATGTTAAAAAATATTAACACAGAATTGGGCTAAATATTTTTGATGATAGTAAATGAGCATTCTTTAATTATTTGTATAAATATTTTTTGGTTTAATAATATAGACTTTAATGAATGTGAAAAGTAAATACGTTTTGACTAAAGTGTGCCTTTAAAATTTTTAAAGTATATTATTATTCGTACATGTTTCTTTTGTCGGATAATAGCATAGATATATAAATAACTACTATAGATGGGAAACTCCCACTGCTACACAAATCCTCTGCGACACCTCGTGGTCTGGGTCAAAATTAAAATACAACGGCGGTTGATTTAAAATATATTTATATTCGTATTTTTTAAAAAATGTAAGGATTAAATGAAGAAAAACATTTGTATATAAAACTTTATTATATATAAAATGTAAAAAATTAAGGATTAAATGAAAAAACATTTGTATATAAAACTTTATTATAGATAAAATGTAAAAAATTAAGGATTAAATGAAAAAAAAAATTGGATATAAAATTTTATTATATATAATGTAAAAAAAGACTACAAAATAAGTACCTATGATTACAAAAGCAAAAAAATAAAATGGGTGATCCTAAAACAAATAAAGTAAAAAATACTATAATTATATTTTTATGAATATTAAAAAAAATATTATATTCGTTCTCCTTGAATGTTCATAGAGAAAGGACGTAAATCGATCGACTCGCTGAAATTCGCTAACGATAAGTTAAAAATCGATTTAAAAGTTAATTAGTGATAGTTAATTGGGAAAACAGTAGAAATAATAAGGAAATATGTCTTCCGAGAACAGCGTAATGGAAGAAGAAATGGAAGATACCGGACAGTGGAATAAAATAAAAAGAGAAAAGAAACGACGCCATCGAATATCGCATTTGCTAAATCCAGTGAAAAGGACTTGGGAAAGAAAGGAAAAGGACAACTGTCTCAACAACAAATTCAAGACATAATATTAGGTCAGCATTCTTCTAAAAACCCAATAAATCAATCCCAACCAAATTCACAAAAAGATGTCAACATTCAAAGCCACAAAAAAAGGTAGTTAACAACACACACCATGATTCACTACAAATGAAAAATATCATGAATCAAAACTATAAACAATTTTGTTATAACAACTCAACAATAATTATCAAGATTTCAGTTTGCTAATTTTTGGAATAGAAGCAATCCAAACTCTTCTAATGTGATAATAAAAACTAGAAATGGGTTTATTTTAAAAAGTAATTAAGATAATAACCGAAGTCATTAGTCCAGTCAAAAGTAACCAAAGAATACAAAGAAACAAATTCTAACCAAAATCAATCCACACAAAATAAATCACATGACACAACTTTTGCCTGTATCATATCATCAGTAGAATTGGATATTGAAGATACACATATTATGAAAGACCATCTCACAAATATCGAAATAAAACACAGATACTGCAAAAAATTACATCGTGAAAAACTGGGAAATTTACCTATTTATACTCATGTTCGATCTGGAAAAACCAACCAATCACTCACCAACTATGCCACAGGAAGGGCTCACAATATTTCAAGATAGTGGCTCATAACGTGAGGTTTATTTATTCAAATATCAATAGTTTTCAAACAGAGAAATACTTAATATACAACTATCTACAAGGTAATAATATCGATAGTTTTATATGTGAGGAAAGCAAAACTAAAAATTTTATTAACCCATATTGTGACGGGTGTATAATCCAACAGGAAGGAAATATATGAAACTCCAGGCATATTATTATGTTCTAAAAATATTATAAATAACATCACAAACGTACTTGTCACTTCAGATCAATAAACAACTCCCTTCTAATCTTCTTCTATTAGCTGTAATTTAATTGACTGGCAATATTGTAATTACCACCACATATACAATTTTTTTTAACTATTGTATTGTATTTAGTCTTAACATAAAATATTTAATGTATATATTAATCTTGTAAATTCGCTGAAAGACTTCAGTCAATTTTTGGTTCCATGGTATCAATAAAGTACCTATATTTCTCTCTCTATATTATTTTTAAAGGAAGGCAATTATTTATTATTTTTAATGTATTAACATACTTTTTATGACTGTAAAATTTTTTTTGTGCATAATTTTTAATTGGGTCATTACACCCAGATTTTACTTTTAATTTTCCCTGTAAAATTTTGGTGATATTTTTTGCATAAATCAGCAAATGAAATGAAATAACATAATTTAATATGTGTTTTAAAATTTGATGTTTTTCACATATAAAAGTAAATGATTTGCATTCATTATACATTATTCCGAAAAGTATTTTTTTTAAATTTTTGTAGTGGCAAACTTTTGGAACTATTTGCTGTAATATGAATATAATCTTTTCAAAAAGTTCACCATATTTACTGTTTGGGGCCATTAAACTTTTTATACTATAAGATTTTGCGTTGATAAAAAAATCTTCAGCATTACTACCATCGCCCAATAAATCTGTCATACAACATCCACAACTTTTAAATTTACGTAAAATTTTTTTTGCCACAAACCCTGCTATATATCTAAGACATCCTTTTTGTAAAATATCTATTTGGTTATTTGGTGTAAATTCACTAAATTGTATATCAGGGATCTTAATTGGTTCATTTTTTGAAATTGGTTCACAATTTATGAAATGTTTTAATGAATCCAAAGCATTTAAATTGTCATCTTTACAATTAAATCCAGGTGAGTGCACAGATGTGAAATCCATAATAATTAAAGATTTAAATGAATGAATAAATGCTGTTGCATTTGGGTTTATATACCTTGCTCCATGACTCCTAATGCGCCCAAAAAAGTTTTCAAGGGGATCTTGATTTAAAAAATTGGGACAAAAATATTTTATATTTTTTTTCTGAAATAATTCCCAAAGGTATCTCATACCTCTTAGAGTGTGAATCCAATTTAGTACACTTGGTGGTACTGTCTGTTTCCCCCTTTCTTCAAATTTTATTGATTCAAAAACTTGAATGGCCTCAGTCCAAAAAGTATAATGTTCGCTTTTTTTTGTTACAGCCATTCTTAATCTTTTTCCATTTTTATTAAAGGTGCCAGCACCATTCACACTATCAAAGACCTTGTCCATAAATAAAATAAATTCAGCTGTACTTTCTGCTTCGGCTGGAAGACAATTTAGTTGAGAAGAGGCCAACTTTTTCATAGCTGCGGCTACAGTATTGCTTAATGTCTGTGCTGCTATGGACACTTTCATTTTTTTAAGATTTTTAACATGACTTTCTGTTAGTTTTGGACATAATTTATAGTCATAATCTTTATCTTCTAAATCATATAATTGATTAATGTGTGCCCAAGTCGCCACTTCAATATTTTTTCTCCACTTAAATTTTACACTTTTATTAAAAAAATTGTTTCTAATACCTTTTAACAGGTGGGGAGGGTCATATAAGGGAATAACTTCTACACCATCTATTAAAAAACCGAATTGATGTGGTTGCTTGCAGTTTTCTTCATATAATAATTTAATAGCCTTTTTATTGGCACTATATTGGTCGCAAATAATTGTAATTGGCAAAAGATCACTATTTCTGCATGCCCTGATGACTTCTTTTATTTTTAAACATAATAGGTGACCTTTCATGCCACTTTCACTAATATAATAAGCAATTGGTTGCTTCCACTTTTTAAAAATTCCTCTGGCCATGAATACCAAGGCTTTATCAGCAATAATTGGCCTATTATATTCATAATCCCCATAATCTTCAAATCCGTAAATAGCACCTTCTTTTTTGTTGTATTGCAATCCAGGATCAATAGATATTTCATCAAAAAGGATGCTACAATACTTCTCTTTTACAGACATTCCCTTTGTACTATTTTTCAAGCTAGCCATAATGGTTTCATTGATTCCAGTTGCAAAGGGAATGTCTGTAAAAGGTTAGTCAAAGTTTTCCTTGAAGGAGCAGCAAATATTTTACGAAATAGTTTGTATCCTTTAGGACTCTGTTTTAAAAATGACAAAAATAAAATTTTTTCATCAAGGCTATAACGCCTACCCTTCGGTTGAAATTTTTGGCACCTTAATTGGCATTTTATAAAATCATAAGTAGCTTTATTGATGCTTTGGGCCAAAAAATCACCTGATTCCATAACTTTTTCAACTCTTCTTAATTCCTTTTTCAAATTCAAACATTTAAAATCCAGTCGTTTAGCAGTTTTAACGAAGATCTTTTGCAATTCTGTAAAATTTTTTCGCCTTAGGTGTTAGTTTAGCAACTGATTCTGTTCCACTGTAGGCCAAAAGTCTTAATTTACTTCTTAAACCTATAAAAAAAGAAAATTGATTATTATATACATTCTTTCAACATATCAGGGACAAAACAAGCTTAAAGAAAACCCTGAATTTTAGTTATTAATGGGAAGAGAACATCAATAATCCCACTGTAAGGAAAAGAAAGGAATAAAATAACAGTAGTACATAAGATTCTTTTATAAAAATTACCTTTTTGCTTAGCTGGAGTTGAAAATGTTTTAGGTGCAGTAACATCACGAACAGGAGATTGGGAATTCCACTTTCATTAAATTTTGATGTACTGGGTACTTCTACAGCTGGCATAACTTCAGATTCTACAGCTGGCATAACTTCAGATTCTTTAACTAAACAAAAAATAATTTATACTGACTAATTAATTAAATTTTCTTAGTACTTACCATTTTTAATAATTGGAAGAAACAAAGTAGGCACTGCATCTTGCTTAATGGTAGATTTGTATCGACTTCCAATATATTTTTGATTATCATCAAAATGTATGTTACATATGCGATAAGATCTTCTTAAATGATCTATGGTT